TCATTAATGACTTGGGCACAGAGGGAAAGAAGAAAGAGATGGGGAGCTAAAATTGGATTTGTAGCATCATGGGAAAATGTTCTAGGGTTTTGCAGACTTAGGTAACCCACAGTACATGTCCTGTACATGTAGCCTGAAGGGGAAAAAATATAATAAAATAATAAAAACTGAATGTGGAATATAGAGTACTTATTGGCATATAGCATTGTGCCACTAGAAAAACTATTTTGTATTCTATTATAAATAGCCTCCAATTGGATGTCTGTGTCCTCGTCCCTGTGGACCAAACATTGGCAGCCATGCTTAGAAAACCATCTTAGAGCGATGGAGGGTGGAAAATCCAAAGAGTCTGGGGTGAATAACCACCATTTCAATACAACTCAAAAAAGACATCCAGTTGTGACTATACATATATTAGCCTTGAATAAACTCTATTTCTGAGATGCTACAGTGAAGCCACTTCAATAGAAAGGACATTTGGAATAGATGTCAATGGTACTGGTAAAGTAGATTATAGCCCCAGATTATAACCTTGTCTGTCAGAGCATTTCACCACACACTGTGCACAGAGAGCCAACAACTCTGAACACGAGCAGCTGACATGAAGGAATCAGAGACAGGCTTAGAGGTTGCCTTTGATATCAGGGTTCCCACACATTCTGACACATTCATTTCCCTAGAAAAATAATTGTTCACCCAAACACTGAAAATCATTTACTCACCCTCGTGCTGTTCCAAACCTGTATAACTTACTTTCTTCTGGTGAACATAAAATACTTTTTTTTTCATATTAAAAAAGTCCACTGGATCAAAACAAAACATTGGACCCCATTGACTTTCATTGTATGGACAAAACAACAGACATTTTTCCAAACATCGTCTTTTGAGGTCCACAGAAGAAAGCAAGTCATACATAATTTTTGGGTTCACTATTCACTTTTTTTCTCCCAGGTCTGCCATGACTGTGGGAACCCTGCAGTATGGAGACACATGGATTTGAAGCAAATCAGCCAGCAACAGTTTAGTTAGATCCAGAAGTCACTTTGCTGCTTCTGTGAGCTGGAGAGAGTTAAATATTTAAGCAGTAGATGGAAGAAAGATTTTAGAGGCATTTAAGAGGGCTAACTGTGTGCGGGGTGGCATCAAATATAAAAATAAACTCAGCTGTCCCGTTTTGGCACAATGACGTCCACTTCAAGGTTTGAAATACCACTTGAATGATTACATAAAATGCTTATTTGACTATGAAAACTACGACCTGTGGTTCATGTTCACGTGTATGTTGAGGTGTTAGAGAATTGATGCTAATGACAGACGTACGGGTGGCTTTGCTAAAATTTGAACAGTATGTGCTGCTGCCCAGCCTTACATAAACAGAGTAGGAAATAGAAGCCCGAGGCCTTAGGGATGAACTATCTGCACCATGGCATTTCCTGTTGGGCAATTTAAATGACACTGTTCCTCCTACACTGAATTACTTAGGAAACACTTTAAAAGTTGCCACAGCATTTTTCTGAGCTTACTATTTTTTATGCACTTTCTCAAAAGTGATTATTTTGACCGATTTTATTTTAAATTGAAAGTAAAGCACATGAAATTTGACAGCTGATTGTTGCTTTTAATTCAGATAGACATCAAAATCTATTCACTTACCAGTGTTGTTGGTTCAATATTACACATATACTGTAGCTTATTAAACACTGAACAATCTACATATCTTCATATTTTGTCAGAAACCAGGTAAATACCCGATCAATTCCACATTTACAAGTTTATGTGCAGGAGACAATAATATGATATAAGAATAAATGTTGCAAGGACCTGCAAGCTGAGGATTCTGAGGAAAGCTTTGAACCTTACAATGGAAAAACAAAACCCTTGATTGAGTACAGGATATGATGAACTACATTGTTTTGTGGGAACCTGTGCCATTTCAATCAGTCATTCATTCATATAGTGGAAAAATAAAAACATTAGCAAATGTCCCGAAACTGACACTAAAAACTTAGTTTGCCATTAAAATTCCTCTGATTCACACATGACTATAAGGATAGGGTGCAGCATCAGCTTATTTCTAAAACAACAGGAAAACAGAAGGAGGTTAAGCCTGCCTTTGTTTTTCAACCTAAAACCACACATTATAAAACAGGGATAGAGGCTGTGGTTGTTATGAAAGGAAATGTCTTTTAATTAACTGATGTTGTTAACTTTACTTAAAGTTCACAGAAGCACTTATATGAGCCACAATGTGTACATTAGATATTGATAAGCCTCTGTGGAGTTATAAATTACAAAGCCAGCAGTCTTTTTATCCTGAATGGATATATACATATTTTACACACTCCTTCAGATACCCGGGAAGTAACAGCAGATTCTTTCATTTCCATAAATTATGTCTGCAGCTGAGAGCAACAGAGGACACACTTGATACTGAATGGAAAGGAACACAGTGTTCTGATACAGAAAAAGACTGAACTTGCTGGATATCAGGAATAGTATGAAAAACAAGTCGTCATAAAATAGCCCAGAAAGTCCAATTCACACTTAAAAACGTGAATTACGCAAACCGGGAAAAGCAAGCTGTGATTCAGCTAAGAATCATTTTTTTTAAATCACTGGAGGAGGAGCGCATGAACCCTAAAGACCTATTCATATGCATAGTTATGATAAAAGATCATGCATTACTTTGAATCCAAAGCAACTGTAAAATTACCCATTTCTCTAGACACGGTTATTAGCCAAGTGACAAGCCCGTTCCAACTGAAAAAATAATAAGCAGCCATGACTAATTATAATGGCTTCTTTAGAATGCTGGATCTCAGTAAAATCAGCCAATATTTTTACTCGTATCTGATTGGCTGGGCCAGCTGGCACTGACAGCATCAACAGAGCGCTGGTGGCTCATGTTCAAGAGCCAAAGTCATGTGACCATGCAGTCACAGCGAGCACTGGAACGGAGCCTTGTCACTTGTTTGTAACAAATGGGTGAAAGTGTGAACATAGTTTGACTCAATTAATAAAACTGAAAGTATGCCAGACACTACAATAGCTCTGTGGGGGTTGGACTGAGTGGATTGATGAGCTCTTTGATTCAAACTGATCCAAATGTGAAAAAAAAAACATACTGCCAAGAATTTTTTTTCTCCTTTTTTTATGGTCAACATAGAGGGGAAAACAAAAGAGCAACACTTCATGAAGAGACACAGAGAAAACAAACGGGCAATGTGACTAAATTCCTGAACATTCCATTTGACATTCCTGACAACACAATTACAATGACTCAGCATTACCTCAATTATTACAAGAAAGCAGTTTAGAAATAAAAATCTACTGGGCAAAACTGCTAAATCATTTTTCTTTTGTGTATGACCACAAAAGCAATAACAAAGATTCAGCACACCATCAGAGCCAGTTGGGAGTGTTGTGTATCACACAGTGACCCAGAAACCCCAGGGCTGGACTGGTCTGTCCTGTCTTGAGGTGTATTGTTCTCTTTGTGTTGCTCAAATACACACGCATATCACACTCAAAAACCAACTTCCATTCAAACATGTCCCATCAGTAGAAAAATAAACCAGCATAATATAATGCAAGATAAGACATGCATTCACAGACAGAACGGAGGGGAGACAGGCATAGTGTGACAGAAAGTGAACACACCGAGGGTATCACTAGGTTTCCATAGTCCTTGTTTCAACCTACTCATCCGTTCACTATATATCACACAATACTAATGAAAATGAAAGGGCGTGACTAGGTCCTGGCAACTGGCCTATAGCCGCAAATGCTTTTTTAACAGGTTAAAATATTTTCTGTTTTAAAAACAAAAACACACTATAATAATTTAAATAAATAATCAAAATAAATTTAAAGTAAGTGAACAATCAAATGTTTATACCATCACATGAAATGGCATATACCTGAAACTTCCAGTGCAGATGGCCAAGTTGATTATAAATTGAGTATTCTGGTTTGGTGACACTGATGGGGTGCCATTCATTCTGCACTTTCCACTTTCTAAATATGTGGAGAGAAAACCCTCCAAAGGTCACTCTGTAACTACATCCTGGACATCAGAAATGAGATATTTAGATATGCTATTTGAGTGTTAATGTTTTTCCAAGTATATACATTTTTGAAAGGGTGTATGCATTTAACAGGACTGGAAATAAGCTAACTTCACGAGGTAACTTAACAGTATACATCTGATGCCAAAACTGGACCATGGACTCAATCCTTGGTGTTAGCAGAATCTATTTATGCTACTGTGGCTTTGTTCATTATGTTTTGTCCTTAAGCTTACATTTATCAACTCTAGCTGAACCAAAAATTAAATGAAGGAGAGTGAAGAATATCTGGACTGTTATTGCTGTTACCATACACCATATGTATCCCACAAATGGACACACACATAATACAACAATTTACTCAACAACAGCTTAATGGTCAATGTAGATGCACAAGTGTTGTTTAACTTATATATGCTATAATATTAACACACATTGCAGAAGCGGAATACACTTGCCCAAGTAAATGGTTACCGAAATAAAAAACTGGGCATTATACTTGCTTATAGGCCAGCTTAAAACGGTTTATGATGACCATAAAAGACAAATATGGATGAATCTTCACTTAAATCGCTGACTTAAACCAATTGTAGCTGAACTATTAAGTGGGGAGCTCTTATGTTCATCACTTTAACAGATCCATGTTACAATGAAAGCCTAGCTGAACCTGAAGTTGTCACTGAGGATTATGAGGATATAGTTGGAAAGTTCCCAACTGAGAGGAAAAACCATATAGGGATAATACCATTTCAGCATTTTTGGAGAACGTGGCCCATTTATTCCTTCTCCAAGACAAACTAAACCAACAGCCAGAATGGAAAGCTAGGGATGACGTACTTGCCACCTCAGCAATACAGATACAAACACTTATGAAAGGAGCATGCAAATTAATCATATGTTCATCACAGAGTATTACTGTGCATACACTCTTACCTAGGATGGAATGAACCCGTACTGAGAGCTGCGTATGGAGAATCAAGATGGGTTTTTTGCCTTTTCTGTAGAAAGAAGAAAATTTGAGAATCAAGATATCACACAGCAAACCAAATAACTTCATTCAGAAACACACAAACAGTTTGTGCTTCTCATCATTATACTAGTTGAATTCTATTCATTTGAATTCTTTCACTAATGCAGATGGAGCAAAATACATTTAAAGAACACTGTGGATTAGTCATTATTACAGCTGCAGACACGCACTACACTGAAGGCACACTGGAGACAGAATCAGAAAGAGAGAATATGGGTCGGTAGGGATTAAGGTATGGAAAGAGAGAGTAAACAGACATGGAAACTATGCATCAAGAGCGTTCATGGCTAAAAATGGACCTATCCAAAACTTATGTTTTCTTCACAATGTTCTGTGTGGTTCATACACCCAGTCACAAAGACAGACATTCTCACACACACCCCAATTTTGTCTTCTATTTTCCAAGTGCTGCTGCTTTAAATGACGTGTTTCCTCCTGACAATCTCAGTGAACCTGAAGGAGCTCCAGCAGTGGCTACATTTTTGCCGGCTTACAAATACAAACCATGTATGCTTTAAACACACACACACACACACCCCCACAAACACAGCAACAGTGAGCCCTTAGAAAATAAGACCACTCGATTAAAAATACTTCATAATGAGAAATGAAGGCATTTCCACTGGCATGGAGCTGCTAGTTCTCCTTCAACAATAAGGTAGGTCACTACTGCTTTTTGCAATATTTGCATTTGGATTCTGTAGAGATCTTGGTCAATAAGATTGGGGGAAAAAATTACATTGCAAATTATGGCAATATTTTCACTCATAATACATATGAACATTCTTAAAGGGGTCATATGATGCTTTTTTAAAGATCATTATTTTGTGTATTTGGTGTAACAGA